TTATTGTGATACATGGCTGACTGACCGAGTATGGTTTTTACGTCGCTTTTAGCAATCTTCCAGCAATATCACGGCGGGGGGCACCAGAAATGGGCTTCACAAATTGTACCCATGTGGGGATTGTGATACATGATATTGTGATACATTATATTCATGTTCTGTTATCTTTACAGAAGAATGCAGTTAGGAATTGTACATTTCAGGGTGGGGAATCAAGACGTACACATTTGGCAATCTCTCCAACTATTGGCTTTACAAGTTTGATATAGCAGCTGAAACACGCATTGGTGCTTCAGCCATTATCACAAGCGGCCCTGAGATGACGATGGAGTCAGGTACAAAGACTAAGATGAATAAAAACATTATTATTTTTCACACACACACACACACACTCACACACACACACACACACACGAGTACAGTCAATTGTGGATACACGTTACATATATGACACCTGTTGCTTTGTAACTCATTTTTCTATTCAATTGCTTCAATAGTCTTCAAGCCGTTCTCATTATATTCCCAGAGCCGACGGGTGTGTTGGAACTGAAAGTCGAGGACATCACTGATGTGTTTAACCAGGTACAAGTGTCGTGGAAGTGTCCCAAACAGAAAGATGGTAGAAATGGACGGATTGTTAACGCCTGTCTGCATTATTTCACAAACGTAAGTTGAATTATTTGATCAATCTCTCTTTATACGAAGCTATGGCTGCACTCTGCATTGTTTCTAACTACGATCAGTGAATTGTTTCAGAGCGATATGCAGGGAAAGTGGAATTATTCAAAATTAGATAAAAAAATATTAATTTCTCCCTGAATGTGATACTTTCCTGACTGATTTTTTAGTTTTGGATTGTTGTTTTTAATCTGTAAACACATTAATTCCGTGAACACTTATACATAAGTCACTGCCCATTGCTGATAAACATGTATTATGATTGACTGGGGCACGTTAAAACGTCTTCATTAATTCGTCAGGGATACTATTACGTACCACTTATTTATCATGTATGCTAGTGTAAGCTTGTTCGAGTGTCATCATTGTCCATACGAGCTCATTACAAATCTGCTTCCACCTGTCGTTATATTTGTTCACCAGCAACAGTCGACATATAATCCTATAAGCAAGAATGAGAACTTCACCAATAACGGGGACTGCATTTGGAATGTGAAGGTGACCGTAACTACAGAATTCAAGTATCTTTTCGAGGTGAGTTGAGACACGAGGCATATCACTATACTCATTAAGAATGTGATTAATATGTTCATAAGGAAGTTTCAATCTAGGCAACTGTAAATGATGAAGAACCCGAGCCAAGTGAGACTGGTGCATCATCACAATTTCCAACATGGCCATAAAGACAATATCAGGTCGTAAGGTGTAAGATCGCCCCTGAAATGTAAGTCAAGTGAGCGTATACAATTACCTGGTTGTCGTTTGTCCTCTGGCCTGTGTCGACGTCATCAGTAAGTATGTATTCCTGAGACAAAATGTACCAATAATCTAAAATTTCATGTGTTGGTTTTCATCAGTCACATTAATTCTTCCCCATGCAGCCACGCAGAAAACAAACGTTGATTGAGCAGAGGCAACAGCGAAATAATAAATGATATGATGGTAAAATTAATGTAGCCACAACAGTGGTCAAGCTTCCAAAACAGGCCTTGATGTCGAGGCTGAAAAAGGTGATATGTAGACAACTGCTGGTTTTCACTACACATGAGATAACAGCGGCATGTGCTTATCCCCTTGTATAGTATTTTTCAGAAAATTATGGGGCGGTGGTGTAGCTTAGTGGTCAAAGCGTTTACTCGTCACGCCGAAGACCAGGGTTCGTTTTCCCACATGGGTACAATGTGTGAAGCCCATTTCTGGTGTGCCCCGCCGTGATATTGCTGGAATATTGCTCAAAGCGGCCTTATACCATACCCACTCACTCCAGAAATTTATATCTTGTACAAAGTAGTTAGATTGGTTGCTGTTCTGGAAGATTCCAGATCACACCTAAACCGTAAGACGTCTAAATAGAACAACGCCAACACCACTCGTTACATCTCACAGTAATACATTCTGGACAAGTAACTATTGTTCAAACACAAACTCCTTACGAATAAGTCATTCGCTTGATTGCCTTTTTCCTAAATCTTGTTTCTGAATCTAGGTGGTCCTCCAACCGCTATCCAGAGAAGTTATCTCCCCTAACAGATGCGCGGGAAACCTCATAATTTTTATTGTGTTTTCTATACAAAATGTTTCCAAATTTAGGCCTCTTATTTGGTTATCATGGGTAAATCTAAGGGCTTTAAATAAATTTGGTCATCTCTCTTGGGTTCAAGAAATTGCTCAGCCTGCAGGAAATTAATGACTCCACAGGATCCCGATGGTAACACTCCCTGCTCTATCTTCTGTCGTTGTGAGGCTTGTCATTAGCTATCTCCATCAGCTTTCAAGAAGTATACTCTAGCTGTTAAAAAGGGTCAAGAAAAATGACGTAGAAATTGTGCTCCCGTACTCCAGCAAATTGTACTACGCAAATTCGTCTGGCGTGTATTGCGACATTTTCAAACAATGCATTATATCAGATTTATTTCTGCCTTTTGTCCTAATTACCACGCGAAAATTATTTGAATATCAACGGTAACTGCACAACGGCCGCCTTTGTAAACTGTTGACCATATATCTACGTGGGCTGCTGTGATATCTTTTTAAACATGCGTCACCAATGCCGATATACAGGCCATGATCCAACCGACAACATTAATCTCGGCATTTACTGCCGACGGTCAAGCGAGGTGCCAGGATTCTTTGAGCGGTCTTTGGATAGTCATATCTGGACGAGCAACACGACTCATAAGCGCTTGAGAACATTGTTTACCGGAACCGTTTCCGAGCGATGAGTGACTCGAAGGCGGCATTGTATTATGCGTGACAAATTGTTCTCGATTTCCTTACGTCATTATATCGTAACATTATTGTTATCGTCACAAAGAGTCTGAAATCATATTCATTCTACATATTTTCTCTGTGACTAGGTACGTCTCTACAACAGAGGGTTTTCAGGCTCTGTAGTCAGTGTAAGCAAAGGCATATTGGGAGGTGGTAAGTATTGAATTATTGACTAACATTTCGACTTTCCAGGTGATGTCGCTAGTATTAACTGCAATGATATCGCTAGTATTAACTGTCATTCAGCAAAATAGTTGGTTAATAAAAGTGATCATTTCCAGTAATAGCAAATCTGTACGTACGGTTTAATCTGTACGGTTTTGGAATGTGCTCTGTAATGTGTTAACTCAAATGCTGCTATCGCGTCACATGTGTCCAGTGGAATTCACCAGAATTCACCTTATGATTTAATGATATTGTGGATCGAGGTCACTCAATGTGAATTACGCCTCACGAAATAATTACACGGGTATGATTTAAGGTAGAACACATCTCTTGTAAGGGGTCCCGATTGCATCTAATTAACATTGTTTAAATTCTAGTAATTCTAAAATTGAAGATGAACATTTTCCTATCAATGATAATTTGAGTATTTGTTACTTTGTAACTGACTTAAAATGTGTTCTGCATTGGGCATATGATTTCTAAAATCAGACAAGTGTGTAGAAACGAAAGTGTTAATGACTATATTTCCAAGTTTGTCTTCTGTTCCAAAGTTGTTAAGCGTTTTATGTGTGTGTGAGTGTGTGTGTGTGTTTTAAAACAGTGAGTGATGTCATTGGAATAGAGTTGTTATTCGTCAACAGTCATTAGATTTTGATAAAATCCGAAAAGATGCGGTGTGTGTATTTTTGCAAGAAGTGAGTAAACTTTTCTAGTCATATGATATCATTTTGTTTATTTGTTTGTTCTCTAACGACCAAATCTGCAATGGGCAAGCTATATGTCCTCTACCAGATCTAGTGACCGACATGATGAACATCGATATACGCAAATAGGATTCTTTGACATGTATCAACCATTATAAGACACTGACGTGTTTAGCTCAAGTTAGAGTGAGTGAGTGAGTTAATATTTAACGTCACATCGGCAATATTTCAGCCATATCGTGACGAAACTAGAAAATACCCATTATCCTGACAACTGTTGCTATGGAGCTGTGCTCATCAACTCTTCAAAAATATAACTGAAGTGGAAGTTATATTTATTCCTTCAGTACAAAGTAAAAGAATTCTGACAGCACGGATGGTTTTAACAATATTGTCAACTGAAAAACAGCATTCGTACATTTTCACATGCGATTCTGGGTCAATTTCGTAGAATTCTAATTGACAGCTAATTAATGAAAAATACTGAGAGCAAACACATTTCTGAGTGACATGGCATTTTACAAGGCCAATTTAGAGAATGATAAAATTTCAAGTGAATATGAAATTTTGGACTTATCCACCTCTGCATGATTCTTAGGTGGAATGCTACTTAAGCATCCACTGTCTATTTTGTAGCCCCGCTGCAGTCGGCAGTTATGGAATCTGTGAAAAAAGGAGCTGGAGAAACAGAGGAAACGGTGACACTGAACATCTGCCCGAAGTGTCTGAATGATCGAACAAACGGTCAAGTAAATATCACCGGGATGATGGTGTGTAAGACAGGAGCAAGCTGTGGACAAAGGAGTGAGTATACTGTAGACGGAAATACTTTCAAATCTCATATTGCGATGTTTTTCTTATTTGCAATTAAACATATCACTTAAATAAATTGAAAAAAAAAATCACTGTTGACGTGGTCAAAATCCCCTATTTAACGTTGTAATAGTGTGTATGCTATGTATCAAGCAATTTGCTTTGTTTGTTTGTTGTTTAACGCCACACCGTGCAATATTCCAGCTTTCTGGCGATGCTAGCAATTGGAACTTTTTTGGAAATTGTTAATGTGATTAAAAATGATACAACTGCAAATGTTAATGTCCGGTTCTCTTGATGTAGAAATAAATACGTTCCTGTTTGAATACTTGGTACTAATTATGCAGGAAGACGTCAGCGCAACAACCTCTGCTGGACTATAACAAAATTGCTAACTGGAATGTGGCCAGTGCAAATAGTTTCAACGTGAGTACAGGGCAACAAAGCCAGATTGGCTTGCTGGAAATATTGGTGAGTACTGGTAACATCCTTACTGCAACAGCTGACACGTGGTTACAATATTTAATACGGGATAAAAAACATAATTAAGGTATCTTTGATTCTAAACTAATATAAATCAATAAATGCTCCTGGGATGGTTTTTTTCTGTTGACATATACAGCTGCCTTCTGCAATTATGTACAAATTGCTTTTTCAAAGGTCAACAAATGTCCGTGCAACTGCAGACCCTTTCGGGAACGCTAAGTGTTATTGACCTAGTTGGGTGACCTAGTTATTGACCTAGTAGGGTGATCATTTTCCCAAACATGTCATAAATATTGGTGTTTAGGCTCATTGACTGATTTGGATTATGCATACTGGATTGTTTCATCGCGATACATCCGGATTAATGCTCTGATGTTTAACAACACACATACAAAACGTCATTGATACATGATGCTAATGATTATATTTTTATTGACAGGTAAACCCACTTTGACCTTTACTCTAGGGGAGGAAGATTGCAGTGGAAACCTGCTAGGCGTTTTCTGTAACGGGAAACTCCCTGCAGGAGAAACATTTATGTAAGTTTTGATGACTCCGACAATCGAATATTCGTATTGTGAATATTTACAATACTAAGCATTTCAGAACACTTGCTCATGAGTAATACATCTTTAGGCTGCATATAGATCCATATTCTAGATTCGGTAAAGTAGTGACTTGTTACTTGCTCTGATGGCAGGCTCACCACTGTCACACGTTTTTCAAACGCCAGTGACGAATGTTGTGAAATCATGCACCGACAAGCCACAAACATGAAGAGCCCGTCGTGCAATACAAGGCCGACTCGTCAGCCGATCTACATCAAAACCGCTGTCATACTCCAGGGGTCGTACCATTGGCAATCATTGTACCATCAGGCTCCATTCCCTGCATGTACGACCGATGTTACTGTTGGTTGGACCACATCATAAATCGAGATTGCAATCTGGCTTCATAGAACGTGTCCAAAGTACGGAGGATGTTGCTTATTGCTAATTATGTCTCTCTTTCCCCTCCCCTAGTTAACTCAAGTAATACAACACATTTAACGTCAAGCATGTATTTATTCATGCATACATGCATGCATGCATGCATAAATACATACATACATGCATACATAAATACATACATATACGCACACACGCACGCACGCACGCACGCACACATACATACAGTTTTTCTGCGTTATTTTCAGTGTTTACGCTTTCACGTGCACAAATCATGGGTGTACCACAAGTCCACAAATTGAAGTTACAACAAAAGGTATGTTTCAAGAATAAATAACCTGACTTTGACTCATTACATATAATGTATCTGATAGGAATCATTTAGACCATATCAACTATAAATAACTGTACATCTAATTACAGCTTCGTTCCCAATTGCTGCTGTGGTCGGAGGACTAGTTGCTGCAGTTGTCGTCATCGTTGTTGTGATCGTCGTCGTGGTTATCCGTAGACGAAGGTATGTTTGAGATTCAATACGTACGAAATTCCTTCCACAATGTTCAGCAATCTTTGCTAAAAGCTCGTTCCGTTTTATGATCCCGAATCTATCATTACCATATATTTATGAATAAAAAATGAATAACTGTGAATGAGTGATGGTCCCACTGGGTTCGCGAAAGGTGTACGAAGGACTAAAATGTCATGATACTGGGTAAATCCATGTTACTCTCAAGTGAGTGAGTGAGTTCTGTTTTACGCAGCTTTTAGCAATATTCCAGCAATATCACGACGGGGACACCACAAATGGGCTTCACACACATTCACTGGTATCTGCCGTCATCAAGATATAGCATGGGCAAACACTGTGCTAAAATTAAGTCGATTATATCATGCAATGTCTCCACTGTGTCCAAAATGAAAAAAAATCGTCTAATTACGTTACTTATTAAACAGTGCATCCATTCTTTGACATACATATACATACCCAAAGGTTCTGATTTCTTACAGAAAGCACAATAAGGAGAGACATAGGAAGAGCAGAGATGAAGTCATCGCAAATGATCAAATCCGCCCAGAGCAAGGTGACCTATACGAACAGATTCCCGATAGTCAGATGGTAACTGTCGACAGCAGCCACAGTAATTGGGGTTGTGTAAACTATGTGTCAGAGCAATACTCTCGAAACATTGAAAATACCTATGACGCACTTACCACTTACCAGAATGCAGATGGTCATGATTATGGGAGGATAAATGTTGAAACCAGTTTTAAATAAAACTACAAATAGCAATAGCAAAATGAATACCATAGGTTCTTCAATGAAATCATGTATAGTACATGCAGCCAACCTTTTCAAATGCTATTGCTGTTTAGTTTGTGAATGATGAGTACTCAGGATATTAATCAATGTTCATGTACGTGACAGGTGAAATGTTTTAAATAAAAGTAGCGATGGTAAATTGAATACCATATATTCTGAAATGCAAAACTGTACAGTACACATAGCCAACAAAATCAAATGCCTTTGCCTTTTAGTTTGTGACTGATAAGCACTCATGTACATGTACGTGGCAGGTGTAATGACTCATTGTGTAACGAAAAGCATAAGAATGTACCATCTAGTATTATGTAACACATATATACGCTATATGATGTAGTTCAACCCTTGTCGGTTCCATAATTTAAAGAAACCATTACAGTTTCTGTACGATTCCGACTAGATCAGTTTAATAATATGTTTATGGAGGAGTGGAGGCTGGAACGTACCATAGACATTAATCTTCTCTGCATAGTGGTGCTACTATCCACAACAAAATGTTTTGAACTTAGCATTGTTCAACAGAGCCACACGTTTATGCTTAAAAGTGTTAACGATGGATCATGAATTATAAATGCTAATGCAAAGGATTAAAACACAGACAAGAGCTGACTCCAAACTTCACATGCAAACACTTTAAGTCTGTAACAACTTTCTATAATCTGCACGTGCCGCACAGGAATGTGCCATACCTCTTTTGGACATTTTCAGAAAGGCCGAGGACCATTCTTTCTGTCAGTCTGGTCGATTGAGCTCATCATATATTTGTGATTTACTTGACATCGTTCATTGCTAAGGAGCCTAAAGAGTTCAAACCTTACCTTATCCTTGACTTGGGAGATCTTCCCGAGATAGAAATGTATGATCACTGCTTTGCTGATGTAAAAAACGATTAAGTGATAACAATCATGATTTAAGAATGAGCCACGACATAATCCTTTTCCCATATTACCAATATGTACAGCTTCAAGGAAAGTGTGCTTTTAGGTCAGTTGCAAGAAGTATCCTTCTGATACATATGCATACATTTTTATGTGCCGGTACAGAGGTCTTTACACTAATTGCACCACATTCGTACAGTAACGCTTTTCGAGTTATTCCTGATAACTTCAGGAATTGGAAGTATTTAATCTTATTTTATGTAATATTTGTTCCGACTACTCGAGAGCTAAGATACTCTGTAATCCCTCCTCTCTCAGACACTCTTTTCGAAAATATCATTTGTGTTTATGGTAAAGGAATATGTGATCGTTTGCCAGCATGGAAACTACAAGATACGAGATTATAGTACACAAAACACCTGTTTCGTTAGTATTAATCTCCGACAGTCAGACAATCCTACATCTTTATATGGACTATATGCCACGGCCGTAGGATTAACCACTTCATTGGTCAGATAACAAACGTCAAGGTTTGGTTACTAAGTAAGCATGTTTATTTAAAGACAGGATTGGCAATCGTAGGAATAGTTTTCTTTGTCTCATGAGGTCTCTGACAGGGCAAACCCTGTTCACAGAAGTGTAGTTTGTCCGGAAAACGTCTTGGTAAGATATATATCACAGCAAAATAACTTGGTTTCCGCAGTGGAAACCTGGCGAAACTGGACTGAAACCTAAGTTTCCACCTAGAATCCAGTGAGTTTCCGCAATAACGGAAAATTACAATTACCCACTTTCTAAGGGTTTCCGCAAGGTTTCCGTTACCCACACTCCAACAGGTTTCCGCAAAGGTATCCGTTACCCACACTCCGACAAGTTTCCGTTGAGTTTCAGTTAACTTTGAATCCATCAGGTTTCCGCAAGGTTTCAGTTATTAATAAGACTCCAACAGGTTTCCGCAGAGTTTCAGTTACCAACTATTCGACATAGTTTCCGCATAGTTTCAGTTACCGGTTTCAATTTCAGGTTCACAGGTTTTCATATGCGTTTCAAAGAGCCAAATTTAAACATTGTTCTTACTCATATCATCAACTCTTGTTAAAACAATATAAGCAATTTGTTATCATGACATTTACTTAAAGAAAAACAGAATATATAATAAGATTCATTGTTTTATTTCTCAACATGAATATGAATTAGCATTTAAGGCAAATAAAGATCATACATATAACTAGTAATATAGCACTAAAAAACAGGGCAAAACATTTTGGCATAACTCAATCCAGTTTAAGAAATCATATATCATTTATAACAAAGTAGTAATTTTTCATCAGTTAAACTTTCATTCACTTATTATCCTGAAATAACATGTTAGATATGAAATTTATTTCTAAAATCATGCTAATGGTGAAAAATAACATTAACATTCAACTTAACACAGTAATAAAACATAGCTGCATCGGACATTTATTTGCACGCCTTGGCATTCAGCCACACACTCTATGTCACAACTATCGCCAAACATCCACTATGATATACATCATACAATAACACAACATACAGCTTTACAATACAAAAAATAAAATAAAATTACATATGAAATTGAAAATAAATTCAATTATATTGCAAGAGTTGGTCAGTTAGCCCAATAAGGGGGCATCCCTGGGTGGAGATCCCTCCGGTTGATTGATGCCTCATCCTCGTCCCTCGTTGGCCATGACGAGAGCAGGAGGTGTAGATTCTTTCCAAGTCCAGTGTCTTCGTGTATGCCCTAAGCTTGCTGGACTCCCAGACAAAGGGGACGGAATGCAACTAATTGACGTCATCTTCGTCACTCACGACTGGTGATGTCATGTCTATGGTGAGTGTTGTCGCTACCTTTTCTCTTCGTCTATCTGGCCAATCGATAGATGCAAGTCTGTTTAGGCGTTGTGCAAGTTTCTGAAAATGGCAGGTAATAACGAATTACTAGGTTATTTTGATAAATTACACAAACATCAATCAACAAGAAACTGAAAATGCCAAGGATGATTTAAAATGAGTAATCCAAAAGGAAGTTTGAATAAAAGAGAACTAAATTGAACAATCACACTTTGCACTAGTTTTCTCAAAACTCAAATTATGCAATTCATCACACTTCATTGACCGAATGAAATATCTTATTTTCTAAAGAGGACACACAATCTATACACAATTTGTTCTGAGTTACATGCTTCCCAGTCCAGAGGTAGTAATACGTTATATATATATATGAACATTTATTGCATTTTCTATATAGTAAATGATACTAGTAATAGATTTTCATCAAATTGCTATATTCAATCTCTACAGTTCGTATTGAGCCCATTTCTGGTGTCCCCCCTGCCGTGATGTTGTTGGAATATTGCTAAAGCGGCGTAAAACCAAACTCAGACAGTCAGTCGTATTGTTGAAGGCACAAGTATATTCACCCAGTAGTGACTGTATGTTTACACCATTAAGTCTTTGAGGTGTATTTAGAAGTGAATAATGTAAGATATGACAGCTTATGGATGTCAACGTCTTTATTATGTAAAAAAATAATAAAGGAGTTGACATCCATAAACCTTGTCTCTACACTATTAATTGGAAATTATTTACTATTCATAATGTAAGTCACTACAGATAGGTCAAAATTACCTTCACATGTTACTGCTGACCATCCTTGATCATTTGTTATACAGTCTCCAGACACATCATCAGCTTTGCTGAAAAAAATAAACAATAACACGTTACTTTTCTTTGCATTTCCCCATTCATTCATTCGAGTTTTAAAAAAACCCTTAAACCTGCAGCGACATTTATACCAACAAGCAAACTACAGATTTATCACTTTAGGTTATGCAATCAGTAAGTGAACGGCCTGACATAAACATCCTGATGAATGAAGTTTAGTTATCTCATGTGACATAACCTTGGAGTAATTACGGTATTGTAAAATCAAGGGGTCAGTTTGACTGCAATTTCACACAGGTGAAGTTAAGATTTATTTGGTCCAATTTGAAATCATGATTAAGTTACCGGTTATTCAAATCCATTTGCAAATGTAACTTTAGTATAGTTCATTTTGTGAAAATGTATCTAGTGAAAGCATAATAATAAAATATTCAAAGTGAAATTATGTCTATGTTTCGTAGTACCATAAACACATACCTTCAGTAAGAGAGGGTGATCTTTTCTCCACGAGTAGTCGTGACACATGTTTCCTCACAACAGCGTAAATGAATAAAACAAATCCATTAATATATAATCTGTTTGCCATATTTTTCAAAATTGTAGCATATTTTAGATAGACTTATTTTA